CTTGAGAGGCACCAGGCCTGGTGGTACACTCTTGTAATCTAGCATTTAGGAAACTGAGGCAGGAGTAGCACAAGTTCAATGCCAGCCTTAGCTACATAGTGAGTTTAAGGCCAGCCTAGGCTGCATAGTGAGACTATGCCTTAAAACAACAACAACAAAAATTCTCGATGGAAAATAGCACTGAGAACATTTCATTAAAATAAATATAACTATAAAAAATCCCAGCATTTGGAAGGTTGAGGCAGGAAGAAAGGACAATTTGAGGCCAGCCTGGACTGCATAGTAAGACCCTGTCTCAAAAAAATTAATAAATAAATAAATAAGAACCTGCCTCTTTCTAACAGCTGTGTGAAAAAGACATCATCTTCACTGAATTCGAACCAAATTATTTACCTTGAGTCATTTGCAGAATTAGAAACTGTCAAAACATCTCTCTTCTCAAGTCCACATTCTGTTCTTCGTTGTAGGGTTGGTAGCTCCAAGTTGGCTATGGGGGCGATGGGCTGCTGGCCAAGCAGGGGGCAGCTCCCTGCTGCCCAGAAGGTGGTATAAGGAATGACACTAGTGGATTACACTGCCATTTACACAAGTGAGCTGCAGTGGCTGTGTGGCCAGTGTTCTTACCCGTGGACATGGAGCCAGGCCCTGCAGAGTAGCCCATGGGACCTGGAGTTATCCTGAAGGAAGGTACCAGAACCAGCAATGAGGCCCTGTCCCAGGCTGGCTTGGTTCCTTAAAACCCAATGCTCCCAGGCAGTTTGTGCTGCCTTTTATCAAACGGTGTATTTAACTGTAAAATCAGTTCTTCACTGCACCCACATGTTCCCATGCCCTTCGAATCCAATATTTGAGTTATATAGATTTTGTAACTTCGTGGATTAAGTACAAGCATTAATCATTGCCTTGGAACTGAGGAAATCCTGGCATTTTATGACTTCATCCTGCAGGCATTTGCCAGTGCCTCTGCACACCGGACCTTCCTCAGACGCCCCCTCCCCGCGGGCACCCGTCCAGCGCCCTATGCACACGAGGCGCCCTCTGTGTGTTGGACGTTTTCAGACTTGGTCCCAGTACAGACTGCTCCCACAGAATCGGGACGGGGGGAGGTGGTGGTAACAAGGACCACACAGCAGGGGATGTGGGCCAGATCCCGGATCCTGTGCCCTGGCACCCCGGACCTACTTGGGACGTAATGAAGTTTCTTGATGGGATGTGCCCCACACAAGGACAGGCATGAAGAGGGGACAGAGGGTGGCCATTGTTGGTCCTCATCACTAATGATTGATTAGGCCCCCTGGGATACCCAAGCACCCTGGGTGGAGAAGATGGTGAGGCTGGTGCAGGGAGGCGAGTGTGGTATGGACAGGGCTGTGCCTGTGCCCGAGGGCCAGACGCACAGTAGGACACGGTCTTTGTGGAGCAGTGGGGGACCAAGACACACAGAGACTGGTGTTCTGAGAGGCTGTCTCTGGTATCCCAGCCCAAGAGGCAGATTTGTGAGGCTGTGGACAGTTACAGCACTCAGGAGGGGACGCCTGGGTGTGAGATGAAGGTTGGAGGTCACAGCCAACATGGTGTGACTCAGGGAGATGATAGGGAAGTCTTGAGAGGAACTGGGAAGTGTGGCAGGCTTAGCAAAGCCGGGCTTCGGGGAGCGGCATAGGAGCCTTAGCTGGGAAGTCACCTCAGGGAGGTGCCACCATCATGAAATGACCTAGCAGTGTCTGGAGCACTGTGTTTGCAGAGGCCACAATGTGACACAATGACAATTCCAGGACAAACAACCACTGTAGAGATTAAGAACCCAGAATGTGGTTCTTAATCTTTTGGTGTGGGCTGCCACAGCAAGGACACTGGCAGCTTGTGTGAGCCAGGTTCTTGGGCTGAGAGACATTGGTGGGCGGCATCTCAGCTGTGAGCCATCAGCCAGCACCCCAGACCTCAGTGCTAGAGGGATGTGGGTCCGTACTTGTAGAAGGTGACAGTGATGTTCGTGGTTGCTATCCAGTCCTTGTACCTTCTCATATGTGCCTGCTGTAGAGTGAGTGCTTGTGTCTCACCCAAATTCTATGTTGAAATCCTAATTCCAGCGTGGCTTTATTTGTCAGGAAGAAATTAAATGAGGTCCTGAGAGTGGGGGCCTTGTGACGTGATTAGTGTCCTTATGAGCAAAGATGCAGCTCTCTCTCTCTCTCTCTCTCTCTCTCTCTCTCTCTCTGCGATGTGAGGACTCAGGGACAGGTTGCTATCTACAAGCCAGGCAGAGAGTCTGTTATGTGCCAGTGTAAAGTGTTTCTGGCCAGTGTCGAGGGTCCTTGCCTTCACAGGCCAGAGAACTGGCTCGTGAGGCAGCTGATTGACTTGTGAGCCAAGGCTGGTATATGAAGTAGGGTTTATTAGAGAGAAAGGAAAGGCTACGGCTAGAGCAGTGCAGCGGGACCCAGAAAGTGGTAGCTCGCTGCTCAGGTGAAGGCTAGGTTTTTTACGGACTTTTAACTCTGGGTTTGGGTGAGGGTGAGGTGGGCTCTTTTCATTGGCGTGGATTTGTGGGCTTTCTTAGGTGAACTGGTTTGTTTTGCCCCTTGTTGGGGGAGGGGAAATCTTGAGAGCATTTTGCTCATCAGCCCTGTGGCAGATCTGCACCTCAGGGTGCAGGAATGCAGGTTTACAAGTCCTTCTCAGGATGCAGGAATCACAGTGCTCTCCATGGGGGATGGGATGCTCACTCATCTGCCTTAGGTCTCCAAATCCAACAAGTCCTTACCAGGAACGGAAGTAGCCGGCACCTTGATCTTGGACTTCAAGCCTCCAGCCTGTGAGAAAGAAGTATCTGTTAAGTTGCGGGGCCTGGGATCTGCCTAGGCAGATTAAGGCAGCATCTGACTTACTCCATTTTGTGTTACTGTTACAAAATACCCAAGATTACATGCTTTGTAAGGAAAGGAGATTTAATAGCTCAGAGCTCTGGAGGCTGAAAGTCCATGGTTGGATGGCCCCGTCTGTGTAGCCCTGGCTGTGTGACAGTGTCTGTTGTGGGGAGCACATATGAGAGTGAGCGGTCACATGGTGAGAAAGGAAGCAGGCAAGTTAGTCCAGAAAGCTGAACCTGCTTTATAGCGGCCCACTCTTGTGGAATCCAGTCCAGTCCCTTGGTTCTGACCCCAGGTGTTCACCTGTTCTGAGCATGGTGCCCCAGAGACCTGCTCCCTCCCTCTAGGGCTGTCCTCATTGCTGTCAGGAGTGAAGGTGTGTGCAACCCTTTCAAGATGGCATCTCACACATGTCCACCAAAGCGTCATTATGCCTACCTCTGACCCAGCACTGTTTAGGGAATGTCTCTAGAGAGTCTGAAAACATGGACGTTTATATATAGCAGTGTTTATTGGAAAGTTATTTAGCATGAGAGAAAACGATTAGCTGCCTATGCACCCATCGGTGGGAATGAGTGAGTTTTGATGTGGTCCTCCAACAGGGTGCCACATGGCCCTTGTGAAGAAGGGCAGAGTTTCCTGTGGGACAGGAAGACCACAGGACCAACCACAGCAGGGAAGCTGGTGGGATTATGTGGGCTTTTCCCACAGGAAGCTACTAGAGGTTTACTCGTGGTGCATCCTAGTGTTTTTAGTAGGTGAATATGATGCTTTTATTTTAGGATGCCTTAATTTAACAATCAGTAACTGGCCAGGGTGAGGCGGCTCACACCTGTAATCTCAGATACTTGGAGATCAGCAGGATCGAGGTTGGAGGGCAGCCCAGGAAAAAAGTTAGCTAGACCCCATCTGAACCTTTAAATCTGGGTGTGGTGGCTGTGATCCTAGCTATGTAGGAAGTATAAATTGGAAGACTGTGGTTCAGGCTGACCTGAACAAAAATGTTAAGACCCTATTTGAAAAACAGCTAATTCAAAAAGGACCAGGGCATGGCTTGAGTGGTACAGCACCTGCCTAGCAAGTGCAAAGCCCTGAGTTTAAACCCAAGTGATGAAAAAAAAAAAAAACAGGAAAGAATGTTGCCAGGGAATTTTCTGGTTGTGAGAAGCCCCTGAAGGTCTGTGATGGGCCTCTGACTGACATCCCCCTCCATGCTGGAGGCAGGTGCAGGGCTGTGTGCTTGGAGGGACGGGTGTCATCTCTATCTAGGAAGTGAGCGTTGCTGGGCCAGATGCTATGATGACAGCCACCGGTCCACAAACAGCCCCACAAACAGCCCGCGCTGAGCATGGCCTCCTTTTTGGCGAGGCTGGGGCTCTCCTATCCTCCTGTCTTGAGGCCTTGGAGAGAGAAGCGGTCAGCTGTAGGCTCCCTGGCCAGTCTTCCTGGGCAAGCTTCCTGGGCCTTCCTGCGTAGGAGAGGTGAGGCAGGCGTTCCTATCTCAGGGAGCTGCACCTGGTGGGAGAGATCAGTGATTACAAACGAGTGGGAATCCGGCGTTGGCCAAGGCTGTGCAAGAGGTCTGTGGCAGGCAGCAGGGAGGGTGAGCACGACAGAAGCCTCTGAGAAGGGACCCCAGACGCAGCGTGCCCCTCGATTTTATCAAGGATCGATATGATCCATGCTCCTGCAGGCATGGTGTGATGTGGGGAGGGCAAGAGGGCCTCTTGTGTCTTTCCAGGCAGTCCTCTTGGAGGGAGAGTCCACACAGCCCAGGGCGTCTGGGAGTGGGTGCTGTGCAGTCCTGTCCTGCAGCACTGGGATCTCAGCAGGCTTGGGGTCTGCTCCCCTGACACACTTAGCAGAGGAGGCCTCCCGGGCTGCTTTTAGGAAGCCCCAGGACCCCCATCCTTGGAAGGGGTGCTGTGCCTCCTGGAGGCGACCGCCACATGTGGACTGCAGCCTGACACATTGGGGTTCTCCAGAGGATGAGTGCAGGGCTTCACTCCAGCACCCAGCTCTGAGCCTGAGTCCTCTTCTTCAGTGACCAGTACTGTGTGGCTCAGTGGGCCTTCGCTGCCTATTGGTTCTCTTTGGCCTCCGTGTGACCTCTGTGCCTCTCATCCCCAGGGGAGCACTGCCAGGTGAACGTCCGCTCCGGCCGCTGTGCCAATGGAGTGTGCAAGAACGGAGGCACATGTGTGAACCTGCTCATCGGTGGCTTCCACTGCGTGTGCCCGCCTGGCGAATACGAGCGGCCCTACTGCGAGGTCAGCACCCGGAGCTTCCCGCCCCAGTCCTTTGTCACCTTCCGAGGCCTGCGACAGCGCTTCCACTTCACCGTCTCCCTTGCGTAAGTGTGGGCATCCCTGGGCAGCTGTTGTATGGGTCCGTGCATCTGGTCCTCCTGAGTTAAGGCGTGGTCGAGTAGCCCTCAGTGCACAGCTTGTGGGGCTCCAGGCCATATTCAGGTCAATAGAATTTCATCCTGGTGCCAGTGCAAAGCCCTTCTGAGAGTGGGGCCCTGGGGGACCTGCCTACACATCGGGCATTGCTAACATCCAGGTGGTGAGGGCCAGGGGAAAGGGACCAGCAGGCTCAGGAATCAGGCCTCCTGTGCGGGTGTCACTGGAGCCAGCTGCTCAGCCCTCTTGGTCTTCCTGTGGCAGGAAGTAGGACAGGCCAACTGTGCACTGTGTGGTGACTGTTTTATTTATGGGCCTAACAACCCCCCACCCACCCCAGTCAGGAGAATTTCGATTTAATTCTGTTTTAAAAATATATCTTTTAGTATCTTTTACATTTTAAAGACTTCAGTCAGGTTGAACTTGATCAAGTATGATATGTTTCCTATTTGGTGGTTTTGTGCTTGGTCTGGAGCACCTCTCTAGGGACCACAGTCTCCAAGCAGGAGTGCCATGTTCTCTGTCCTCTACATGGCAGTCCCTCAGCCTGGCTCCTCTCTGAGCTGCTTGCTGAAGAATGGGCATCCTAGGATGGACAGAGTGGGTGTTGCTTTTGGGGTCCTGCCCAAAGAAGGGGAAGGGTACAGAACAGCCAGCATGGAACTTCTGGCCAAGGACAACTGACTGCTCCCTGTGCTAATGAGGATCCATCGTGTAGGGTGTGGTGGGAAGGTCTGAGCATAGGAGCAGCACTGGCAGTTGTCCCCCACACCCCTCATTCCTCTTGTAAATGGCCAGTGTTCGCCCTTCGGCACAGTTGCACCCTGGGCCCTGCATGGCCAGCCCTGTGTACCTGCTGTACTCAGAAGGTCACCCCCTCACTCCCAGGGCACTGGTGGCTCACGCCTGTAATCCTAGCTACTCAGGAGGCAGAGATCAGGAGGATCGTGGTTTGAAGCCAGCCCGGGCAAATAGTTCGCGGCGAGACCCTATCTCACAAAAAAGGGCTGGTGGAGTGGCTCAAGTGGTTAGAGTTCCTGCCTAGTAAGTGAGAGGCCCTGAGTTCAAACCCCAGTACCATCAAAAAGAAAAACAAAAGAAAGAAAAAGAAGGCTGTCCCCATGGCACAAGCCTCCAAAACATAGTCCCTATCCAGGGATCCCTGCCCACCCTGTGCCCCGTATGGCTTGATGTGAGCACCCCCGTCACCAGAGCCCTGTATCTCCTGGCAAATGTGTTGTGTGTGACAGATGTATGTCTGGGGCATGTGACTTTGCAGGTGATGGCTGCGGTTGGCAGCCCACAGTAACAGGCATAGCAGTGACCATTGGCAGTTAGTAAGCTGCAGAAGGGACCTCACTGTAGGCTGACCTATAAGGTGGCCTGAAGTCCTGGGGCCCGAGGGTGAACATGGGACTGGTGACAAGAGAGGTCTGGTGGCTCTGACACAGTGAGCGAGTGAGAAACAAGGACATTTGACTAAATGGCTGCTGCCCGATGACCACTTGCTGTTCACATAGAAGTTTTGTGAGAGTATCATATGGGGTGACAATTTATGGATGAATTCTCTATGTGTGGCCAGCTTCAGAAACAGAATGGTAAAACATCCCCCAAAAGGCTCACAGGAGAACATTTTCCCTCTGGGGCTGTGGTTACCATGGGTCAGGTGTCCCAGAAGCTGCTGGGGCCCCTGGTGCCATGCAGAGCTGCGGGGCCTGGGCCTGGGCCTGGTCTGGTTGGGTTGGGCTGGCTCTCTTTGTTTCATGTGGTTTCTTTCACGGCCCGTCTCCTCTTACTAGTTTCTATTTGCCCAGTGCCCAGGCTCCCATGGGCCCCATTCCCAGCCGTCTCTCACCCTTTCTGTTCTTTCCTCCTTCTCCTCTGCCCCCACCCCAGCCTAGGTTTCTGTTTTCCCCCCTTTCTGCTTTTTATTTGCATCATTCAGACCCTCTCCTCAGCCTTGGCCCCTTCTTTATTTCTCCCTTTCTGTGTTCGCTACCTGAGCTCTCTGGAAGCACCATGCAGGACCATTTAACCCCTACCCCAAGCCAGCTCCCATCTGGGTCCAAAGAGCAACGTGCAAAAATGAAGCCTGTTGGGGAGACCTACAGGGGACCTGGTGGCTGAACCTCCTGACAGGCCTGGCGTGTTGTCAGCCTGGCCTCACTTAGGAGCTTTCTCCCTGCCTTCTCCTTGTTGTGTGGGCGCAGTTCTTGCAGGATTCACCCTCAGTTCTAGTAGGCCTCCTTAATCTTGGGGTTCAAGGTCAGGCTGGGGACTGCTGAATTTATGTTAGCTCAGGAAAAGACAGACTCCTGCTGCAGGAAGACAGATTCACAGCCCTGAGTACAGGAATGGGCTCCGCCTGCTCCACCTCTGACTCTAGATGTCCAATGTCCAGCTAGCTCGGGAAACAGTGCCAGGTGTCCTCGGGAGGTTTATCAGGGGTTATGGAGGAGGTGCTGTGTTTCAGTAGGTCTGAGGGGGCCAGCGTCCTCAGGACCATGGGGTGGGAGAGGGCTTCTGAGGAGGTGGTTATCTTTTGATTACTAGTTTCTAAGTGTCGGTTCACTCGTCCATGCCTTCATCCATCCATTTATTCACCACACCCTCAGTAAGTCGGAATAGGGACCAGACCCTGTTTTGTGCTGTGGGCTTCAGCAGTGAGTCACAATTCCTCAGCTTCAGGACATACTTTCTTATAAACAAATAACAGCATAATTTCAGAAATAAACTGGTGGGTGATATACCAATAAAGGATGGGGTGTGATTCAGCTATAATGAGTCAGGAGAGGTGCAGTTGGGTTGCCCCTCTGAGGGTCTGCAAAGCCAGGGAAGATTCTAACAGGCTAGAGCAACAGGTGTAAAGGCCCTGGGAGTTCCACCTTGTTTGGGAGTAAAAAGATACTAGTGTGTCTGGAATGGTGACAGAATCAAGGAAGAGAGGCCTTGAGGCAATCCTTCAACACCAGTGGCCCTATTTGAGCAGCTGCCACATGTCTATGCTGTGGCATAGTTGGCATATCAGGTGTGTGTCATACTTCTAGAACGTGGTGCACATGTAATGTGTGACATGCTATAGCTGTCCTCACCAGTGCCCTCCCCCACAAACACACCCGAGTTCTGGTTTGCTAGCCAGGTTTGGTGGCTCATCAGGAAAGATGAGAGTCTTTCTTGGATCCAGGCCCTCTGTGCCCATCTTCCTTGACTGGCCCAGTCACTCCCGGGGTCTCCACTCTGTGACTTACCTTTGCTTGCCCTGCAGGTTTGCCACCCACGAGAGGAATGCCCTGCTGCTGTACAACGGCCGTTTCAATGAGAAGCATGACTTCATTGCCTTAGAGATCGTGGATGAGCAGGTGCAGCTCACCTTCTCGGCAGGTAGGGCTTCTACCAGACCTGGTTAGCAGAAGGGGAGCTGTCTGAGCCCCGTGCAGGTGCTTGGCGGGCTAAGTCCGCCCTCATCCTTGCAGTACCTCCAAGCTGCTTATCCTTTAGGCCCTAGTTCCATGTCTAGGAATCTGTCCTATAGAAGAATCCAAAATGTGCAAAGGTGTTCATTGCAGTGTTATTCATACTGCCAATTTCCCCAAATCAGGGAATCATTAAATAAAGTGTAACAAACCTTAGATTAATGTTTTTTCAGTGCTGGGGATGGAACCCAGGGCCTTGAATGTGCTGAGCAAACACTCTACCACTGAGCCACCTCCAGCCTTATAGGTTAAACATATTAACAGAGCCCCTGGAGATATCCTGGTTAGACAAGACTATTTAGCCACCTGTCTAAAGGACTTTTAGCCATTCTTATCTGTATTTTCTGGCACAAATGATAATGTCAGTGAGCATGAGACAAATCTCTTATAAAGAGGAAAGGTTTCAGGGCCCATATTCAGTTGGCCGGTTGCTTTGGGGTCTGTGGTGAAGCAGAACATCACAGTGGGAGTGTATGGCAGAGAAAATAGTTCACCTCATGGCAGCCAGGAAGCAAAGAGAGGAAGGGGTCAGGGTCCCCACAGCCCCTCCAAGGGCATGCTCCTAGTGGCCCTGCTTCCCCCCGCAGGCCATACCTCCTAAAGGTCCTACCACCTCCAAAGCTGGGGACCCACCTTCAACACATGCTCCTTTGGGGGACACTTCAAACTGTAGCAGATGATTGTGGGTAAATTATGCTGGCTTCTCCTTCACCTGAAGCTTACCTGGACAGTCCAGAGGTGCTTCCTTTTGCAGAGCCTGGCCCCTGTCATTGTACCCATGTGCACATATGAAGAGGACAGAGATGCCCACAACACAGTTGCTACTGTGGGAGGGAGTGCTGACCACAGCCCACCAGGCCCGGAGGGGGTGGTGCAGCTCCCAGGTGGCTGTCTACAGACCCATGGTCCTGTTTTCTAGACTGTCCTGTTGGGCTCCCAGGAAGGGATTTTCCTGCCCAGGACTGGCTTTGTTGATCCTGTTCTTTTGTGCACGTAAAGCTCCTTCCTCTCAGCTCGTGCTTAACTAGGACTGCACACAGAGCCCACAAGGAGGCTCAGAAAATGCAGCATGTGCAGTGTTAGTCAGTGGCCGAGGCAGAAACACAGGTCTGCGTTGGTCTCATTGCTGGTGCTTATGTGGTGTGATGTGTAGAGAGAGGGAGCCCCACTGCCATTCTGGGGTGCTCCCCTGTGGCTCTCTCACAATTATCATATTTAAAACAGATGGACGAGGATTGCTTTTATAACCAGGAAAAAAACTCAGAATAGGCCAGTAGGAAAATAGTACCCAGTGGCTGGAGCCTGGTGAGGAGTGACTTTCTCCAGGAGGGGCCCCGGCCTTCAAGGTTCAGGCAGAAATGGGTGGGCTCTAGGAGGGGCCATGTGGGGGAAGGGAGGACACAACAGAGCTGGTTTCTAAATGACATGTGTCTGTCCTGCAGCCTCGAAGCCTGAGCCAAGGTCCCCATCAGGTCCCACTAACCTGTTTCTCTCCGGGTCTTCCTCTTGCTGTACAGGTGAGACCACAACCACTGTGGCACCACAGGTTCCTGGAGGTGTGAGTGACGGGCGGTGGCATTCGGTGCAGGCACACTACTACAACAAGGTAGGATAGGCACCTTGCTGTCTCCCAGCCAGGCTGGCCAGCACCAGTGCCCTGGCAATTTTCTAAGACGTGTGTGCTGCAGGGTAAAAGCATGGGCCATACAAAGCAATTGAGGGTGTGAGCATCCCTGGAGGGTCCGTGTAAATGCACCTGCATGGGGCCCTGGGACAGGGCAGGGGACAGTGTGACAGGGCCCAGAATGAGCTTGTTCCCTCTCCAGCTTCCATGGTTGGAGCCGTTGCTGGCTGCAGTTCCAGGCCATCAGATGTAGCCAGAGCCAGAACTGTCTGCTGGTACCAGCTGGAGAGGGCCCTGGATGGGCTGTTTGGGGCCTGTGTTATTTTGCAGTTCATTGGCTTGTAAGGAAACTCGCTGTGGGTTTTCACATCAGAAGGCCGAGCTTTCCCGAGCTATGATTTACAGCCCACTTTTCCTCTGGAGGAAGCTCCAGCCTTCGTGGTGGGTTTGTGTTGGCCTCTCCCATCCCTCACTGAACCCAGCCCCCACTCCACCCCCACGCCCCAGGCTTCCACAGGCTGGGTTAGAACTGTTCTGCAGTTCGGCTTTGACATGCCCGTGGCAGTCACCTGCATTACTTGGGCATGGGTGCTGACTTTGGCCCCTGCCTCCTGATTTTCCTTCTCTCCATCCTTCTACCTCCCGGGACTGCCCCTTAAATCTATCTGCTCTCACCTCCCACTGTCTCCCACGTGGCCCAGACAGGCTCCAAGAGTTTGTTACTTGCACAATACTTAAAGTCTTCTTCCCGTGCCCCCAAGGTCAGTGGTGGCTTGCCAATGGCAGCCTAGTGCAGGTCCTGCAGTCGTGTGGAGCTCCAGCCCTGGTGGTGATGGGGTCTGAGGGGAGGGTCTGCTGGGGCCTGGGGCTGACTGCTGGCTGGGCATCATGAGGAACACCGAGAAACTAGGGCCTAATTGGGTCGGGGCTGCCGCAGGCCTCTGGGGGCAGCAGGTCTTATTGCCAGCGGGGGTCGTGGTGTCACACAGGGGGCAGTGTGCCTTGAAGGGGGAGCAGAACAGTGGGTTGGAGGACTCTTGAAAGAGCTCCTCCCTCCTCACTCCTCCTAGGGCCCAAGGTTGGATACATTGTCTGGGGTTTCTTTCAATGGTGTCTTAATCCATGTGACACCTCTTCCCCATGGCCTCCTATAGCTTCATTTCATTTCAGGGGTTCCTCCCTCTCCTGGGATGCGCCCCCAGGACATGAAGTTTCTACTCCACAACTTATCATTTAGGTTGGTGGCTCCTTTCCTTCTCTCTCACCCCAGAGAAGGTCTGTCCCGAAACCATTTTCTCGCCATGCAGCAGGCAAGGGACAGCTGAGCCCTCTGGGCACGTAGGTGAGGCTAGGGTCCTGTGTCTTGGGGCAGAGCTGTTCCTTTGTCCCCTTGTGCTCCCATGAGCTGCTTCAGACAGACACACCAGGCAACCTGATTGCTCTCTCCATGTCACCTGGACAACTTGCCTGTGTCCTCAGGACGGATGAAAACAGATGGTCCCAGGATGAAGGGTCTGTGGTTTTGTGGCCTAAATATGTCCCATGCTTTTGAGTCAAAGAAGGACAAATTGTGCCCTAAAGGGACACTTGCCAGCCTACTCCAGGGCAGGTAGTTACCACATTTCAAAACCATTCACCCTGCTGCCTGCCCTGCCCACCTCTGAGCTCCTGTCTTTCCCATGCACGGAGGGAGCCCTGGGACTTGGGCTCAGCTCCATGGTCAGAGAAGCAGACACCTCAAAGCACTGTCCTTCCTGCTGTGTCAGAAATGCAAATCCAGTGCTGCAAGCTTCATGCTGGAGGCAGGGTGGGTACAGGAGTTGGGTCAGCCTTGGTCCCCCCATCAGAGTGCCTCTCAATACATCTGCTGGTGGCTGAAGCAACAGTGTATCCTGCGGTTGAGCAGGGACTAAAAATGACACCCAGTGTCGACATCTCTGCCCTGTTGCTAATTCACTCACCTCTGCCCTCTGGGCACTGGGCATGTCAGCAATGGGACCACCTGCCTCTCCACCTAGAGGAAGCTGAGCAGTGAGCTCACCCTTGCAGACAGCCACCTGCAATGTCCCAGAGGAAAGAGGGGCTTCGCTTAAGAGGGCCGGCAGGTGGATTACTGGGATCCTCTTCCGTTTCCAGGCTGGGTCCTTTCAGCAGCCCTTGAATGGAGCCCTGAGCCAGGATTAGGCCTTTGCCCAGCTGCTTCCCTCTCTTGCCGGAGGGCGTTTTGTGGAGGAAACTAAGCAGTTTTCACGTACATCCTTAGGCCTCCATTATGTGGTTTGAGTGGGTCACGCAATGGGAAAGTTAGCAGAGATTACTGCGTCTGTCTGCAGGTGGGCGGTGTTGTTCCTACTGATTCTGTCTAGAGCTGGTGTCTCTTCCCAGACCCGGTGCAGAGAACGTTCAGAGCCTCAGGGCCAGGGCAGGACTCATCAGACTGGAACAGTTCTGGGAAGGAGGGAGGGCAGCACCCAGGTCAGGATGCGTCAGAAGGACAAGAACAAAGTCAAATCTGGAAATGATCTTCCAGGGAGAGTCACTGGCCTTGCTGTGCCTCCTGTGTTGTCATTCATGCCTTCTCTGTTCCTGTCCTCAGGTAGGAAGAGACTGGGTGACCTCAGGCCACCTGGAGGGCTCTGGATAGTTGCCCAGGGGAGGAAGCATCGGTGCAGGTGATGGGAGGCTGGAGCCTCACGTAACTGAGTGGAGCTCAGGGCTGGGCTTAGCATGACCTTGAGGTCAGTGAAGAAGCAGCGTAGAGGAGGTCCCTCTGCCGGCCCTTCCCCAGCTGCCTGGGAGCAGCCACTCCACAGTGGCCTGAGCACCCTTGGCCTGCTCTGTTCACCCCACTTGGGTTTGCTTTTTTGGATTATTATGAGAATGTGTTTGAAAATTTTGCAGCTTACCTTCCAGTGTGGGTAGAAATGAGGACAGTAGGGCTGAGTATTGCAGCATTCCTCCCTGTCCTCTCTGCTGTCACACCACCATCTCACACCGCCTCCCCAAGTGCCCATTCCCCTGAGGCCTGTTTACTTTGTGCTTCAGTTCTGTCCTGAACGTGCCAGATGGGCTGGATGGAGAGGCTCTGCACCGAGGACACATGTACTCTGTGTGGGGACCTTTGGGGACCATCCCTAAGTCTGCTGGCCTGTGGGGGCCCTATAGCCAGTGTGGCTTATTGTTAGGGTCCCCACAGGAAACAGATGGAACAGGGAAACAGGGTGATCCCAGGAGGGATTATTAGCAAAGGGCGGCTTGTTTTTGACATGGGGTCTTGCTAACTTTTGCTTGGGCTGGCCTTGGTCCACAGTCCTCCTGTCTCTGCCCACTGAGAAGCGAGAATTACAGATGTGAGCCACTGTGTCTGGCCCTAGGTTTCTTTTAAGTGCTTGCTACTCTGCTGTCACCTCTTAGTGTCCTGGGGGTGTTCATGGGATTAGGGACAGGCACACTCCCTGTATTTTGGCTCTGCCACAGTATCTCACTGCCCTCTTGGAGAGGCTGTCTTTGCTGCTACTGGATGGTCATTCCTCACTGGTTGTGTGGAGGGATTGTCTACACCCCTCGACTTGCTTGAGGAGCACCAGCGGGTGTTAGGGCCACAGGCATGTCTGTGAGGATCCATTTTAAAGGATCCTGGGGGGAGCGAGGACTCTCCTGCCCAACCTGGCCAGGGCATCAGGAAACACTTTCCAGAGCCAGCTGTGCCCACCTGCAGCTCCCAGGACAGTCTCTGAACCCAATGGGGAAGCACTGTATGCCAGGGAGAGACGTGTGCCGGCTGGGACATGAGGGTGGCAGCCTGCTGGGGGCGGGGACATCCTTAGAGAGCGTAGATGGTTTGTGGACCTGAGGCAGGGCCAGGTCTGCCGGGAGGGTTCCCATGAAGAAGGGATTTGGAGGCCATGAGACAGGCTGAGCAGGATTCTCCACCTGGGCACCATTGACCTTTGGGGACAGATGACTTGGGGGGACCCATCCTATGCAGCATCCCCAGAAAGTAGCTGCTTAGATTCAGTGAAAACCAAAACATCTCCGGTCATTGCCCAATGTCCTCTGACGGGGGATTGTGCTCCCTGAGGACAGCCGGGAGATGGGAGTTCATGGGCTGATGTCTGGTGGAAACGAGCAGCTGCAGCCGCTGTGGACTATGTGGGTGGCAGGGGCAGCCAGGTTTATCTCAAGTGCACCTGACAACTGTGGTCCCGGAACACAGCTGTGTTGGCCGTGATTCCTGTGCTAGCCATGTGCAGTCACCCCGGCTGGCTGCTGGGGTGCTTGGGCCCCACCTCGGCTGCCAGGACCTCTTCCAGCGCAGGCAGTTTGGAGGTGGTGCGGGCTGTCTTTGGTACAGCATGCACTGTTTGTGTGAGGAAGGCATGGGCCCTAGCTGGACACGCCTACTTTCAGCATCTCTGATGGACTACAGCTTCCATGGGCTCCAGGTTTCCATGACCTCGAAATGACCTTTGGTAAGGGTGTCCTTAAAAATTGCTCCCTTTGGCTGTGGTCCCCACCCTGGCGTGTTCACATGGTTCGAAACCTCTTGGATCCATGCCACACCTGAAGCCCAAGGCCCAGAGGAATTGGGTTGTGACCCCCACTCCACTGTACCCTGGGATGGGCAAGGGGCTCCTCGGCATCAGTGAGTGTCCTAGAAAACCCAAGGCCTCCACCCAGATGCTCGGATGAGTCTCCCTGAGTCCTGTTGGTTCTCAAAGGTCTGGCAGTGGTGTCGTCCCCTAGGTAAGGCCACATGGCCTCCCTTGTGACTCCCTGCAGCCCTGTCTCCTTTTCTGTGTTCATTCCTTCATTGCTCTGTCATATGTTTATTGAGTGCCGACTGCAAGTCAAGCACTGCGTTGGGTGTGGATATGGCAGAAGACAGAAGACGTTAGTCCGTCACACTCTAGGAACCCTATTTCCAGGCAGGGAGAGATAGGAGTCCCATTCCTCCAAGGTGATACTATCTAGGTGTCCTC